ATAACAAAAACTTATACTAAAAATCAAAATATTATTATATCAAAACTAATATAAAGAAAAACATTGAAACTTTAGAGAGAATAAATCTCCCCATAAACAAGACTCTTAAACGTCTACATTGTGGATGTTATTGTTGTTGTGTTAGAAGAAACAAACCTATATTTATAGAGTCCTAAAACCTTTCCTACTAGAAAAGGAGTCCTAAAAGGAGAGAATAAACCAAATATAAAATAATATTATATTTTCCTTTCAAGAAAAGTAAAAATATTTATGGTAATGTTTTGTCTTTTCTTTAAGGAAAAATAAATCTTAAATTATGGTAAGAAAATCAGGGCAAAACCCTAACAGAATGTTGGTCATAACTACAAATATCCAATGTACATAACTTGAGTATAAACTATGAAATTTTTCAAGTTTTTTCTTTTAAATTTTTTTTGTTATATTTGAAAATTAATTTAAAACCATTCATTGAGTTTTTAAACAATTCCATACCAAACGCTAAGATATGGTTTATTTATTATTTGTGCAGCCTATTCAAACAACAGGAGAAAAGCTTGGACCCAATAGCTTATGGAGATCCTTGGACAATTATGTGAAGCTTTATTAAAAAGTTTAGTGACTAATAATAATATTATAATATTAATAATAGAAAGATGAATAATGTTTCAATTGTGACTATGATATGTACTGAATAATGAAGCAAATAAAATGATCATCTTTCTATTTTATTTATATTTATTGTGACTCAAGATTTCTCTTTCTCTTTCTCTTTTTTCATTATAAATACATTATACCAAAAATAATCTTTAACAACAATTACTTAATAGTAATGACTTAATTATCGCTAAATATATTTTTTAGATGAAATTACTAGTGATAATTACATTTTAACACTCTTTGTAAATGCCGCTAAAGTCTATAGTATTTTTGATCTAATGACTAACTAATGTCAATAAAGACTAAAAAATCTTTGTTAATATGGATATTTATTACTGATAAACCTCGTCTTTATTATAATGATATAAGGTAAAAAATAATAATAAACCTTCAGAGCCACAGTATATATCATGTTTATATCATATTAATGAGTTCATAATATTAAATTTTACATGCAACTTTATTCATTTATTAATGTTACTTGATAATAGACACTTCCCTCTTAATTAATTTATTACCTAATTATAGTATATTAATATGATTTGGCGCAAATATAGGATCTAAGCAGGAGGGAGAGTAACAATTTTTGTTTATATCTTTTATTTGTATTAGAAATTTTATTTATATATATAATCGCAAAATCATTGATCATGATGTTGATGAGTTCGATGATGTATTTAAAACACATAATCTTCAAATTTTGACATCATCGTAAATAAACTTCTTTCAAGTGGTTTTCGCACATTATTTTCATTTTTTGTTTAAATGGTCATGTCTACCCCACTATAAAGTACATCAATAGAGATCGCAATAAAATGTATATTAATTTTTTATCAATAAAATTATTCTATTATCGTCTTCTAGTGAACGTGATTGACCCAATTAAAAAAAAAGATAACAAACATGAATATTGTGCTAAATTTTGATTTGAATAAGTTGGAAATAATCAATATTAAAGAGAGAATAGAATAAAACTTTTATTCAAGGTAATAAGTTATACTAATTTTACTTGGTGAGTGCGCATTATATATGCTTACACATCATCAGCTACAGCATATTCCATTCTCTTTTCTTATTTATTTTTAAAAAAATTGAAACATTAAATCCAACCGTTGAATATATATTTTGCCCATGAACGTTCAAACGTTGGATATGTCCCATATTCTTCTTCCTGAAATCTCTTCGGAGGTGGTGGTGAGGGTGGTGGTGGAATCGGCCTATAAAGAAATGAATAAAAGAAATATCAATGATAATATGTGTCACTAAATAATAATTAAGTAATAATAATGCATATACATATTACTTAATCATAAATAAATTTACATGTATGACATGTTTAAATTTTCCAATCAAACGATTGGGGAATTAAATTGAGTAATTTAATATCGAATGTGAGTAAATTTAATTTGTAGAGAATTAAATTCTTACGGTTGAGCTCTTGCAAGAGGTAACATAATATTAGCTCCATCGCAGCGTCTTAGAGGATCAGGTATTTGATGAGGGCATGAAATAAATCTAGTCCCATTGGGATAAGTGCAAAGGGTAACCTCATTCAAGTAAAGTTTTGCGTTAATCGAAGTACAAGAGAGGTAAATATTGAAGGGGTCATGTGATGGCGCTGGGGCCGGTGAGAGAAAGGGGTCATGTGGTGGTGTAGGTGCTGGCAATAGGGGAGTAGGCGAGGCAAATACTTTTTGAATAGCATCAACAATATCATTTTCAGTATAACCCGAAGTATCAGAGGCAATAATATTACTTGTTTCCAAGTAATTGTACAAGTTCATCTTTACAAAAGAGATGTTGTTGATCCTTATTGCTGTTTTGAAGTATTCTTTTACACCTGTTTGTGCCCATATTCCATGCCTTTTAAACTCATGCTTATATAACCCCATATTGTTGAAGTTTTCTTTAAGTGATCTCCAGAAGGGTACAAGGTAAACTTCCAATGGTTTGACCTGTCGTGCGATCGATCAGGAAAAAAAATATTTACACAATTAAGTCAGTTATTACATAATATTGCTCAAACACACAAAAGTAAACTAATAATAAAATGTAGGGGTGTACAAAATCGAATCGAACCAAATCGCAAACCGAGTCAAACCGAAAAAAACCTGACTAGTGATTTGGTTTGACTTAGTTTGGTATTGGAAAAAAAACCCGATTATATTTGGATTGGTTTGATTTTACCTAAAATAATTCAACCCGAGACCAAACCAACCCGACATTATATATATAATTTTAAAATTTTATTTTATACATAAAAATATTTACTTTGATATAATTTTTAAATATTTCTTATACTTTTTCATAGTTTTTAATTTTTAATATATTATTTCAAGTTTGAAACTTAGAATTCTAAATGGTATAAC